GGGTTACAGGGAGCTCTGCTTTGATTGCAGATTGTCCACGGCTACATCCTGAAAGTTTTTCTACCTATGGTCTTGAAAAATGTGAATTCTGAAAACACAATGACATGCTAAAGGAGCTTAAACCTTTGTGAGATAGGATTCCACACTGCCCTAGTTAGAGAGAAGCATGTTATAAATTTTTAAACCCTGGTGAAAATAGAAAAAAAAAAAAAAAGGCAGAATTTCACTAAGAATACACAAATTCTGCGGGTGATATATATTATAATTAATTTAGCAAGAATGACCTATTTTAAAATCAGATGCCTGGTTTTAGCTCTGTTTGTTTGCTGTTTGGGGGACAATATGAGCACTAGGAGAAAGATTTGCCTCCTGGGGCTCTGGGCAGGTCAGGGAGCCCGGCAGTACTGCAGGTGCCTGAGGCTGAGCTGGGCTCACAGGGCAGTGCAGGTAGAGCCGGGCAGGCCCCCCACCTTCCTGCATTCTCTGTTGCCCTCCTCCAGTGGTGGCCATAGGTTCATTTTTTTTATTGAGCAGTTTTTGTGTTTTCTGTGTATACAAAAGTAGGCAGGTGGATAGGGTGTTTTCTATTCATCTAGAAAACAAACATAAGAGTAGTTTTTAAGTATTACATTTGATCCATTCCTACCACTGTCCCCCAAACCCAGAAATTAGGGCAAGCAATAGAATAAAAGCCTCCCCACCCCTACCCTTGCCAGGTCTGCTAGCCTGGAGCAGGAGGTCCTGGGGCCACTGCTAAGCATGGGTGAGGGCGAGAAGCATGATGGCAGGAGCATGAGGGAGCGTGGGTGTGGTCAGGATGGGTGGGATGGAGACCACGGTCAGCAGCCGGCCATCATGTGGCACCAAGCCTTTCCACCGCTAAGCTCTGCCGCTGTCCACCTTTGCCTTGCCCCCTCCCAAGAACACTCCTCCCCAGAAGCTGAGCTCTCCCGGGGTACGACCCCTCCACACCTTTGCCTGTGCAGATCCCTCTGCCTGGCATGCTATGGCCACCTCTGTTTACCTGGTCAAAACCTACCCATACGCTGAAATCCTTCCTTTCCACAGAACCAGCTAGAATGGACTCCTCCTTCCCGCCTCACAGTGATCAGAGGCGGGCTCTCAGTCCTCCTGGTTTCCCTAGTGCCCAGCACGTGCCTGGCACGCAATAGGCATGTTGGAAAAATGAACAGTACAAAATCTTTTAGTCCAAACTTTATCAAGAAGATAACAAAGTGGGCCAACGTGGCCTTAGTCTTGAGGTTCTCCCGCCAGCTCCCCCACTTTTACCTCTGCACATTTGCTTACTGGCCTGTAACCCTGCACGCCCTGCACAACAACATCCCGCCACCGTTCACAGCACCCCTTGCAGGAAGCTTTCCAAGACTCCCTACTTTGGTCGGAAGAAACCTGTCCTTCATCTGAGCTTTCAGCCACCTGAACTGCTGTGAGCTTATCTAGGCCTCTTTTATGACCGTTTCAGCAACCCTACCCCCGTGTTAGACACACAGATAGTCATCGCCCCCCAGAACCCACACAGCAAACCAGCCCCTGTGGGAAGAACCTCCAAAACAACCATGGATTCGATCAGCAAGCGAAGGCATGTCTGCCAGAACCGACACTGCTGCGGGTCCCAAGGAGGGGAAGAGTAAGAGCCCAGCCTCCCAGCACAGCAAGGCGGTGCGGGGCACAGGCGGTCACGCATCTGGCGACATGGGATCAAAAACGTTACACTACCTTGTTGGCCAATGCGTCTCCCGGTCCATCTTCGCCTTTCCCAATACTTAGCTCTGACTGCTGGCCATTAGTATCTGAGAGGCAATCTAAAAGAGCCAAGCTGGAGAACCCCAGGAAAACTGCAGGGCACAGCTCATCTTGTGCAGAGCGCCTCAAATGCCAAAGGTTGATTCCTTCACCTACTCAGCTGGGCCTCACCAAGGAAATAAGATCAAGAAAGTGGTGTTCGTCTTTAGCATTTATTTATAATTGGAAAAAACTGTTTGTTTGTTTTCTGAGCAAGCACAGACCACAAGCACGTACGTCACAATCAATTGGCTATACATGAATATTTTTGTCATTCTCTTACTAACAGCAGGAATGAAATAGCACCAAGAGAGGTGTGCGCTACACATTACATAGACAATCTGTGGTATGCAACAAAACCCAGGCCACAAAATTGTAATTAGACACTTCCTGTCTGCCTCCGTGAGGCACAGCCAGGAGGGCAGGATGGGGGCCCAGGCAGAGAACAGGAAGCTGGGAGAAGCCAGGGCACAGCTCTGGGGAAATCTTCGCAGGCAGGCCAAGCAGACAATGGGAAAGTCTCCATCCTGGCCCTCTTGCCAGGAGAGTACGGAGAACCACAGGGGAATGTACCGAAGGGGCAGGACAGGCATCAAAGCTTGGTCACCTTCAGAAAGGCAAGGCCAACACTGCTTGAGGAGCCAAAGTCAGTCTTGTTCAGTTTGCCTGCTATACAGAACAAGACTGACTGAGTTATATTTGTAAACAGTAGAAGTCAAAGGAAATTTCTTATTAGTGAATTGACACATTCAAGAGTCGAAGTGAACTGCAGAGAAGAGTTTTTTTTTTTTTGAGATGGATGTGTAAAAAAGAAGCGGGCACTGACAGGGTAAAAAAGACATTGTACAAATCACCTAAAGACTTAAGCAGGGCAGGATAAGAAATTCAGTCCCTGGGGCTGTGAGGTTGGTGGAAAAATGTGTAGGGCCTTTACGAAACTATGATACAGACAATACCAGCTCGACCCAGTCACAGTGCACATGGGACTGTCATGTGCATCCTTCTGGCTGTGTTTCTGTGGGGACATATTAATTTATACTGCCCACCAAGTCTAGCACAGTGCCTGGCATAAGGCATGCAATACATGGATGATGGCTGGATGATCCCATTGCAAACTCTGATTCACCTCATCTGCAAAACATGATTATTCTTAAGCGAGACATGGTGGTGCACTAATTTCTGTAGTTCCAGCACCCAGGAGGCTGAGGCAGGAGGATTGTTGCAAGTTCGAGACCAGCCTGGGCTACAAAGTAAGCTCAAGGCCAGCCTGAACTGCATAGTGAGATCCTGTCTCAAAAAGAACCCATGATTATTCTAGGGAGATATCCAAGTTTTGGGTAACATCAACATGTTTGATTAATCCCGACTTTTGAGAGAACGATTATACCCTGGCAAATCCTTTGGATGTAGTTCAGTCATATTGATAGAGCTTTCTGGTAAGCGTTAAGATTAGCAAACAATTAGCTAGAAACAGTACTAGGATCTAGTGTAGGCGCATCCAGATAGGCATTCGAAATCAGTCATTCATGAGCACCGAGACTTGCTGCCATTTTCCACCTTCTTCAGCCTCCTTCTTCCTCACGGCCTGTGTGCTTACATGGAAGGAAGGAGGCAGTGGGCCTGGTCACGCTCTTAGTGGCTGGTCTTCCTGTTCTGTTAAAAACTAGGGCCTGTATGGCACGTACTGAGTTAATTTGCAGAGATTCTCAACCAGCCCCAGAGTGACAAGCAAATTAGCACAAATGGACACTGCTGCCTGGACAGTGAGAATGAGAGAGAGCTTGTGGAGCTCTGCCTCCTTCAAACCAAAAGGGCCTGAAGGGACCTCTGAGGTAAGGAGTTAAGGTTTTCAGTCTTCGCCGCTTTTATGACATAAGAAAGCAAGCCTGAGCAGAGGCTGAACTTTGTACAACAGCTCAGCCATTCAGAATGCTGGAGGAGATAAGGACTTCAAGGACAGGCAAAACAAAGCGTGCTGAGCAGTCTACACCTCATCTTTGCAAATATGATATTTCTGATAGACACTTTGAGTTTCCTTACAAACACTGGGGATCTTTTCACAATGATGCCTTAACTAATTCCTACATAAAATGACTCTAGCACAGCTAAGGTGGCACTTGCCTCCCCTGGGGGCTTTGGCCACAGAGGCACAAAACACAGAATACATTGAGAGCTGCTGTTATTTGTCAATGAAGTTAAAAAAAAAAAAAGCTTGCTAGTCACTGCAGGGCCCTCGCCTGGAGCTATGGCACCGAGACGCCAACCTGGAGCCCAGCACCGCTAGCCTCTCTTTGAGGCAGAGCATTGCTGCACTTGCCGTTACATCTCTGCCCCACCTGGGCTTCTTGAGAATGGAAAGTCACACTAAGTGCCCCATCCCTACACTGTGACTTCTCCTCCTCAGTCACTCCTAGTCAGCTGCTGTGCAACATGCTGAGGGTAGACAGAGGAGCACATTCTCCTTGCTGGGACCACCCTCTGACACCTACAATACCTAAAACACCCACCCTTTCACCACACTGGCCTGGTCTCAGCCACCAGCTGCCTATTTGTTACTTGGTATACAATGTAAAGCCCAGTAATAGGAAACAAAGCACAGAAACACACTTCTATAGAAGAGTCTAAGATTACTTATAAGTTAGCAGATACAAGTCCATTTTGTTGACATTAAGGCCAAAGTTGCTTTTTCTTTCAATATTTCCACAAATGCTATCAACTGCTGAAGCCCAAACCAAGCTTCCATAGCACATGGTTATCCTCTGAACTTTGGGAAAGAACATTTACCTAAAGCTCAAAGTCAAAAAGGGACGCCAACCTTGGGAGGAGCAGGGGAGAAGACCCTACAGCAGAGACTTCCAAGCTCTACCGGAAGGAGTGCTTGGTGCCAGCTGGGGCTTACAAAGGAGGGCACAGCCAGCGGGAGGTGCTTCCCGGTGTCCCGGGGGCCCTGCGGCTAGAGCTGGGCCACCTGCAAGAGGGGGCAAGCCACTCAGTCTGTGTCCTGAATCTCAGGATTTGTCCACTGAAAGAAACCAAAACAAAGAGCTCCTGGAACACTCAGGACCAAGGACTAAGGCAGAGAGAAAGTCTAATTAATTTTGTGGCCTTTTTTGTTTGTTGTTGAGAGGAGAGAGAGAGAGAGAGAGAGAGAGCGAGAGAGAGAGAGAAGAATAAAAGGAAAGTGCAGTGACATTTACTCTTTAGCCTCAGCCAGTTTATTGTTCATCTCTTTACTTTGCTCCTTTGCATCAGGTTTGGTGGCACTGGGGCCCTCCACGCTCTTTTTCTTGGCAGCCTGGCCCGACACCACCTGCTTGTCTTTGGCCTTCCGCAGGGGCTTATGGCTCGCTGAGGTCTTTTTTGGTTTGGAACTCTGAACACTAGGTTTCTCCACCTGCACGGAGAGACAGACAGGTAGGCGGCAAATACAGAAACACAGAAGGGAGGGAGGGGAGAGAGGGTTTAGAGAAAGGATATCACCGTGTTAATGGAAGGACAGCAGCAGTGATGCAGGTTGACACATGAGGTGCCGTGTGGAAAGTATTTTCAGAGACATTTGGGCACCTGGATTCCGGTCTGAACTCCTGGTTAGTCTTTTTGGCAATGTTCTTCAGTGTTGCCACCCGGGTTCCTTGCTCTGTCTGCCCTTCCCCCCGGGCCAACCCCGTGGCAAGCTCCATCCCTATTCTGCAGTATCTGCTGTTCCTCCCTCTGGGAAGATTATACCTCATCACCCACGCATAGGTTATGATTTGCTGTAGTCAATGAAATGGAAGAAGGGAGGTGGGTCACCTCCAGGGCCATGATTCATGAGTCAGCCCTGCTTCCCTTATTGTTCTCCTCTGCCCCAGAGGGACATGTCCTGGCTGACAGGCAACGAAGGGCAGAGCTGAGGCCCACACACGGTGCCTGGGTATTCTTGGGAGATGGCTTTGGCGGATGCTGGATGCCAGGATTTGCAGGTGGCTCACTGCTGCCCCCAGCCAGCCTCTCCCTGTTTCTGTCTCTGGGATAGTGAGCACATACGGAGAAGAGTCCTCTCTGAGATGCTTTGGGCTTGCACCTCGCTGGCCTCAGCCAGGCCACAGGCACTGCCGGCAGGACCCTCCTGGCTGGCTGCCTTGCTGCTTTCCGGAGCAGCTGTCCCAAGCTCTCTCTGTTTCCTCAGGTTCCCTCCTCATTCTGAGAAGAAAACCCTGCCTTTTCCTTCTCAGAGAACCCTGGAGCCCCTGGGCATGCTGGCTGGGTATGCCAACCCTGCCACCCATCTCTAGATTTAATTTCCTCAATCTTTCTTTCTTTCTCCCCTGGAATCTTAGAGCCAAGCCATGTCCGGTGTCCTACTTCAGCTGTAGATGGGCAGAAGTGACACTGGACTCTCTACCCTGGGCCATTCACTAAGGTCCAGGGCCCTTCAGTCATCCCTGGACCTGCAAATGGTTTGCCTAGAAAAGAGAGGTTTTCTGGAACATGGAACTTTCTGTGCTAAAACTTGAAGCATCCCAGGCAAACTGGTCAGGTGGTTATCTGAGCGTAAACGGGTTATGGCCCATAGGGAACTCCATTTGGGTGCCAGACTTTAGGACGAAAACACAGAAAAGGTCATTTAGGTTCTGCAGGTATTTAAGTTCTCAGGCATTTTCTATTACACATAGAACAGATAATATGTGCCCAATTCCACATGGCCTGATGTCATAGAATAAACTAGGCCCTTTGGCAAGTACGATTCCCGTGATTCCCGTGTCACCAGCTCTATCTCCAACATGCTTCTCCCGCTCATGAAATCATACTGAAATACAGATAAGGCAGGGCGGTGTTATGAGAAAACCCACGAATCCACTTTCACACACTGTCTACTTGAGTAATGAGTGACTGGCCACACACCTTGCAGCTGATGTGACAGGGGTGCTGTGACAGGCTGAGCCTTGATGGTGATGGTGTTTATCAAGGGAAGAATGGGGGTGAGGGTGGATGCCTTGTAGGGACTGAGGAGACGGGTGGGGAGGGGTGCAGTGGGTGGAGGAGGGAGCGGGCCAGGCCCAGTAGGAAGCAAGTCAGGCAAGACAGCCTGCAACCCCGGGCCAGCCCTTCAGGGGCAGAAGCACAGCTATTTTAAAACAAGGTGATTTAGGGAGCGGGTGAGATTTTCTGCTATTTTTTTTCTGTATTTCTCAAATACAGGAACCAGTTCTCTAGAAATTTTCCAACCTTCAAAAGCTGCCTTTATCTGAAGTAATGTTCCTGTCTAACACTTCTTTTGAATTTAACAAAGGTTCCTCTGGAAGATGGCCCTGTGCTGCGGGGAAAGAAGCCTTTGGAAGGTGGGTGGCCAGAGTTGCCAGGGGCCCAGCTCTTATGCTCTGCGAATCACCCTCCACCCAGGCTGTGCTGAGGACCTCCACAAGCCCCATCTCACCTTTGGAGGTTCCTTGAAAGGTTCGCTATAGAGGCTGCGTATTCTTCTGCGATCAATGACCTTATTGTCAGCTGCGGTTGGCTTATTTGCCTCCCCTTTGAACTGGGCGCTGTAGCTGGTCTCATGAGCCATCTTGTCATCTGGGGGCTTGTACTGGGGCTTGGCTTTTATTGGTTTCACAGGCTTAATGTCCGTCCATGCTCGGAATTCATTCCTGTTAGGCAAAGAAAGCAGAAGTGATCTGAAACAGTGGTGTTGCCAGCCCTGGGCTGCAAGCAAGCTCACCATCAGTGTCTGTGGCGCTGGCGGATGTAAGGCTGAGGTGTTGGTGCCGCTGTCATCATGCGAGCGACAGTTCTCCCTCTTGCAAAGTGGACCCCGTTGCGGCCATCGCAGCAGAGCCTTAGAGAAAGCACTCAGGCTCCCTCCCAGCACTACACCGTACAATCACGGGCAGGCCATTCTCCTCACCGGGCTTTATCTTCCTATCTCTAAAAGGAGGCTGAAAACCCCAGCCAAGCTGGTCCCTCATGAGTTCGACAAAGATGGGATGGCTGCTGCCTGCAAGGATGAAGAGTTGTGAACTTGGACAGAACCATATATTTGGTCATTGCCAAGTATATTGTGACCTATCAATAAGTGCCAATTCCTTTTTCCACTTTTCACAATGAAGAACCTTTGTGCTTAAGGCTAACTCTTCCCTTTGAAGAGCAGAGGACTTGCTGCTCATAGTATAAGAACAACCTAATCGTGTCAGGTGAAAGTCCTTCTGAGGTGTCTAAATGCTTACGAATCTTAAGTAAAAAACATGTATTGTTTGTACCACAACTGGGACTTGTGTGGGGTGTCTGTGTGTAGGTGAGTCTTCACACACTTCCGTGTGAACGGCTGTTGGTCCTGTCCCTGTGGGACCTTCTGCTGCTGATGTTTTGAGTTGATGTGTCAGTTTCCTGTTCACAGCAATCTCTCTTCTGGTTTCTAGTCAGCTGTTTCCAGTCTGCCATAGGGCTGGAGAGTAGACGGCCAACAATGTTAAAAACAGGGCAAAATAAGTGCTGCTGCTGCTGGAGACTTAAAAAGCCCTGCTTAAACATATGAGATTCAAAGCAAAAGCCCTGGGGCTCCCAAGGCCTTGGTCAGGTCTGCTCTCCTTTGGGACCCAGAAAAGCTGTGCTGTGGAAGGAGGAGTTACTGCAGGGATCTCTGTGGAGTTGTTCTCTTCCTTCCTTCAGGGCTTAGCTCTGAGTGCCTCACACAAGGGGTAGAAAGAGTGTGGACTACATGGAGACATGGTGTCCAAGTCGAGCACTATCTCTAGCTACAGAGCCTTAGTTTCTTCATATGTATAATAAAAGAATGAGGCTGAACAAGGTCCTTACAGTGTCCTCTAGCTCCAGTGTACCCTCAGCTGACAAAGCCAGTTTGGAAAACTGAGCCACTTGCTGGTCATTTGATCTCCTCTCTTGGTTTTTCTGGGGAGATTGGATCCCATGTGAAGAGAGAGATCACATCTCTAAGTGACCCTTCCTAAGCTTCAAGCCCACATGTCCAGGGCAGCCTGGGTCTCCACCTAGATGCAACCAACATCTCCAACTCACTGTCCTTGGACCCAAGGCACCAGTCTTCCCTGCCAGCTTGTCTCGAGGAATCCCCCCTTGTTTGTGCTCACCTATCCATTCACTCACAAACTGTTTCCTGGGTGCTTATGGTCTGCCTGACAGAACACTGAGCACCATGGTGCATGTGAAGCCCTGAGCTCCAAGTGTGGGAAGCAGAAGGATCTGGGTCACTCCAGGGCGAGATGGGGAGAATGAGGAAGGAGGAAGGAGATGGGAGCACAGAAGAGGAGCTGCTACCCCAGCTCGGTTTCTGGGTTTCTGGAGTAGAGTCAGAATGGCTGACAGGGAATTGGCTAGAGAAGGAGGAGTGGGGAGAGGGCTCCAGGCAGATGGAGCAGCACATCCAGAGGGTCCCAAGCAGCCTGGCTCCAGGGGACCTGCAGGCAGTGCAGATGACTGGCTTCCCATTTGGTGGGGAAGGGGACAGGAGGCCAGACAGACCGTGGAGGTTCTGCTGACCACGCTAAAGGGATGGTCTGCCCTGCAACACGAAGTTGCCAGAAGATTTCAAGCCAAGGGTGAGTGCGGCCAGATTTGGCTTTTGGCAGAGAACTCTGGCAATGGTGTGAATGGTGGACAGTAGGGGAGAGCAGAGGAGGGAGCAAGCCAGGGAAGAACGCTGAGGCCGGAATCAGGTGAGTGGCAGAGGGGATAGAAGAGAGGGCACTGAGCCAGAAGTGCAAAAGTGGGTGAGCTGTGAGAACAGGGGCTGGGAGGAGTCTAGGGGCACACCAGGACTTTGGCTTTGGGTGACAGTGCTTCCCAGTGAGATAAGAAAACGAAGGGAGGACAGGGCTTGGAATGAGGATAAGGCCTTGATTCTGTTAACGGTACCCCACCCACTCGGGCATCATGGCTGCCTTTGGAGCCTCTCCTCACCTCTTTTCCTTCCTTCTCTACCTTCTTTAGTTTCAATCGGTTATGATGACCTGACTTTGGAACCATCGCGACTCCACACACAAGTCTAGGGCTGGCCCAGGGTAATCTGGGGATCTGGGCCTGGACTTTCTACGGAGCTAGGGAGGCTCTATATCAGATTGAACTAGAGAGCACCTGAGCTTCTCTATCCCCAAGAAACTTGACCAAGCGTGATATGGGCCCCACTTGGGTTAGCCATGCCCAGAGCTCCTGTTGCCAGTTCATGGTCCCCTGTACGGTGCTTCACCTTCCTGTATAACCATCTTTCTGCCTTCCCTGTTGTGATTCCAGAGCTGTAGCCCAGCCTATTAGATGGGCTCCAATATCTGGGCCTGGACCTCCCTGTGCCAAACAGTAACGGCCTGGCTCCTGAGCAGACAATGGCAGCAGCTTAGATTCTCTGCTTCTGCCCTGCCTGTATCCAGAACTAGTACCGAGGTAGGTGTACACTCTCCCTGACCACTGTTTCTGGGTTATCTTTACAAGACCATATCTGCAACCTCCTGCACCTCTGTAGCCTTCCTTGGGGCTAGCAAGTATTTCACTTGTGAGCACCATCCATGGGATGTGTCCTTGTGGGAGAACTTAGTTCTCCTGTCCCGACCTCGGACAACCTTGGTACATCACGTGAGAGCTTGTTAATGCATCCCACCATAGGCCCACAGTTAAATGAACTCCTGTACCTGGTTCTGGACGTCCCAATGCCAAACTAGTGACAGCCTGGCTTCCAAGCAGACAGTGGTAGCAGCTTAGATTCTCTGTTTAAGCTTCAATCCCATATCTTAAAACTGTCTTTGAACTCACTTTAAAACCTCTCCGCTCACGTGCAACAATGAATCATACATTCAGTATTGACCTTTTATAAGGAGAGAGTCTCTATTTTAGATATTCTCCACAACCCTCACAGCAACTTGGAAAAGGAGGTAGTACCAGGCCCTTTTATAAAGGAGATACCCTAAGCTCAGAGACATTCAGTGGCTTGTACTCTACTCTTGGCATTAAGTGGTAGAGTTAGGGTGAGAGCACAGTCAGGCAGACTCCACTACCACATCCTTCCCTTCAGCAGCGTGCAGAGCCACAGACGCTTGCTTACCCACCCCCAGCAGGGCCCTGTACTGCACAGTCATCTGCAGAGTTGGGGGGGCTCTGCATCAGACTGAATTAGGGAATACCTGAGCTCTCTAGCCCCAAGCATCTTGACCAAGGGAGATACCAGCCCCATTCTTGGGTGAGCTTTGCTCGGTCAGTTTGTGGTCCCCTGTACAGAGGTCCACCGTCTTGTACAACCAACCATCTTTCTGCCTGATCATTCATCTATTCATTTGGCATTTGTCAGACACCAACTATGGGTGTGGTCTGTGTCCCGCAGGGATGTGTAACCCTGGGTGAGGTTTCTATCATTTAGCGAGTCAGGACCTGTCCATGTGTGATCCCAGAAAAGGCAGAAAGAAGCAAAAGGAACAGAGTCCAAAGGGAATGAGGGAAAAGAATGTTTCATCCTGAAGGGAGGTGAGGACCGGGAAAGGGCATTGAAGAATAAGGGTGGAGAAGTAGCTGCAGGGAATTCACACCTTGCTGAGGCAGGACGGCCGCTTGAGTGCAAGAGATGCGGTCTTGTACAAGGATAGGTACTGGGGCCAGACTACGCGGAGCCCTGAATGCCACGTGTGGATGCACATAGCAGGCCTGGGAGCTGCTGAGAGTTTCTGAGAAAGTCAGCAGTTTCTCTACCGATGGTGTCCTCCTCCATTGCATCGTTCCAATTTTAATGGGTCTTTAAGGCCTACTTCAGGTTTTCCTCCTCCAGGAACCCCTCCTGGGTTACTCAGCCTAAAGTTTCCTACCTCTTGTCTCCCGGCCCACTGACTGAACTGGCCAGTTTTGCAGCTACTCTGCAGGTTCACATCATTCTTCAGTTCTTTCATGAATTCAGAACAGAATCCTACTTTGGAGTCCAGTCTCATTTGCGTGGCTTGGGTGGAGGCCCAATAACTTACCCCAAGTCAAACTGCTGTTAGGGGTCGAGCTGGGCCAGGACCCCCACCCTGCCTATGCCACCAGTGCTCTTCCCATGCCCCAGGCTGCCACTTTCTTACATTCTGCTGTGGACGTAAGGGCTTGGCATGCAGTGAGTGATCAATGGAAGTGGCTAGTATCTGCTTTCATTTTTGGTCAGCTCATGTCACCTCTCCCGAGCCCTTCCTTTCCCACCTTAGACGGGGTAGGTGCTTCCTCTTGGGTGGCATAGGAATGCCTCACGCTGAAGCCCTTGATGCTTCTGCTATCCCACTGCTGGGGGTGGAGGTGTAGCTCAAGTCTGTCTTGAGGTCCTTCAGGTCCATGGCTACTTTTGGCTCCTAGCAGCAACTGCAAAAACTTCTCTTCAGCCAGTCTAGGTGCATACCACAGCAGGGCTCTGGGCATACGAGAGGGCCCTGCATCTGCAGGTTGTAGCCCTGGCAGCCCAGATATGTCCCTTATGTCACAGCTTCCTTATATCAAAATGTGAGAAAATCACTGGGACACAATGGTCTCCACCTGCATCACCAAAGCCTACTGTTTCCACTACATAATCCCCTCCACTAATGTCACCCTCCACATGTCCCCTCCACTAATGGCCTCTGTCATTTGCAACTAGGTGTGTGACTTATCTCCTACACAATCCCAGGAGGGGCAG